TCTACTTACTGTCTCTATGAATTTGTCCCTTTTAGGTACCTCATATAATTGGAATCATACAGTATTTATCCTTTTGTGACTGGTTTATTTCACTTAATGTAATGCTTTCTAAGTTCATGCATGTTGTAAACGTGTGTCAGCATTTCCATCCTTTTTAAGGCTGGATAATACTGCATTGCACGTACATACCACATTTTGTTTATCCATTCATTTGTTAATGGACATTTGGGCTGTCCACCTTTTGCCTACTGTGAATAATGAGGCTACGAATACTGGAGTACAATAATCTGCTTGAGTGCCTGCTTTCAATTCTTTTGGCTATATACCCAGAAGTGGGATTGCTGGATCATATGGTAATTCTATGTCTAATTTTTTTCCCGTTTCATTGTGATGTAAGTGATGCACAGCAAAATGATTTGACTTACATATATCATGAAGTGATTGTCACAACAGTTTAGTTAACATCCATCACCTCATATAGATACAAAAAGATGTATGTGGAATGCTTCACAAATTTGCTGTCATCCTTGCTCAGGGGGCATATTAATCTTCTTTGTATCATCCCAATTTTGGTATATGTGCTGCCAAAGTGCACATTTAACTTTTTGATGAACTGCCATGCCCTCATGTGATTCTTTTTTTTTTTTTTAAGATTTATTTATTTTAGGGGCGCCTGGGTGGCTCAGTTGGTTAAGCGACTGCCCTCGGCTCAGGTCATGATCCTGGAGTCCCGGGATTAAATTCTGCATCGGGCTCCCTGCTCAGCGGGGTGTCTGCTTCTCCCTCTGGCCCTCCCCCCTCTCATGCTCTCTCTCTCTCTCTCTCTCAAATAAATAGAGAGAGAGCACATGAGTGGGGGGGAAGGGCAGAGGGAAAAAGAGAAAGTCTCAAGCAGACTCCCTGCTGAGCATGGAGCTTGAAGCAGGGCTTGATCCCACGACCCTGGGAACATGACTTGAGCCAAAATCAAGAGTAGGATGCCCAACCGACTGAGCCACCCAGACGCCTCATCCTCATGTGATTCTTAAGTAAAGCCAAAGATGAGGCACACTGGTGTTCTTCCTACATCCTGAGAGTACTAATTGGTAGTTGGTAAACATTATTGAGTGACTTCCTTCATTAACTGTATTGCAGCCCAATGCAGTTGTTTTTGTCACGAAGTCTGAACACTACTGGGTGGATGAATAGTACTCTTTTGAAAACCCCAACAAAGTGTCTCATGGCCATGAGAAATAGTGCCTCAATTGCAGTTCCCACCTTCAGCTGAAATGTGTCCCCAGTGATTTGTTAGTAATGATCATTTAAGTATCAGTTTCTGAGTGATTTGCTTTGTAGATAATAAATTAGACCTGATTCAAGACTTTTCCTATGACAATGCCGTATCTATCATGATACATAAAATTATTTCTATCATCATACCAGTGCTCAGATATTTTTCTTTTTTTTTTTTAAGATTTTATTTACTTGACAGAGAGAGACAGCGAGAGCAGGAACACAAGCAGGGGGGGTGGGAGAGGGAGAAGCGGGCTTCCCGCCGAGCAGGGAGCCTGATGCTGGGCTCGATCCCAGGACCCTGGGATCACGACCTGAGCCGAAGGCAGACACTTAACGAGTGAGCCATTCAGGCGCCCCTGAGCTTTATTTTCTTGAATCAGAAGGAAAGGTGGTGAAAGTGATGGGACTGTGTTGCACATGAATGTCTTCCACCTCAAAAAGCACTGCTAAACTACCCACTGATAGTCTCATGGGAGTTCAAGGGCAAAGGGATGAATAGGTGGTGCACAGAGGATTTTTAGGGAAGTGAAGATACCATCCGTATAATACAATAATGGTGGATACATGTTAATATACATTTGTCTCAACCCACAGAATGTACCACACCAAAAGTGAACCCTTATGTAAACTATGGACTTGTGGTGGTTATGTATCAGTGGAGGTTCATTAGTTGTAACAAGTGTACCACTCTGCTGCAGGATGTTGATAATGCGGGGGGTTGCATGTGTGGGAGCAGAGGGTGTATGAGAAATCTGTATCTTCCCCTCAATTTTGCCGTGAGTCTAAAATTATGCCCTCCCCCAAAAAAGCCTTAATAAAAACTATCCTTTAACAGTATTTGGCACAGAGTTTGGCACAAGGTAGGCATCAGTAAATATTTGTTAATGATCGAATGAATGAATGAATTTAGACAAGTAAATGTAGTTTGCTATGGATGATTCATTATGATGGGAAAGTATGGAATACTATTACAACACTTAGTTACTATTCCAAAGGTGAAATCAGAATGGGAAAACGTCCCTAATCTTTTGGGAGATGGCAGCAAGAAGGGGCTGCAGTGGATGTGGAGAACCTTGTATCTGAGGGTACACCGAGTGGCCTCAACACAGAGCTGAGTCAGAGGACATGAAAGGTGCTGGTATGGAATAAGGGTGAAAGACAAGGGGTACCACTTAAGTCACAAGACTCCTGCTTCCTTCCTCTCTGTTGTATACCAATCCCAGGACCTGCAGGTTTTCTCCTGCACTGGGCCTTTGAACACCTGTCCAGATATGAAATAACATGTTGTTCTGGCACTTTTAGTTAAAGTACCATCTAGAGTCAAATCATGTAAAGGAAGAGAAATCTATGAGTCAGTTTCCAGATTTGTATTTTGAAGATTACATCAATGGATTTCCATAGAAAGAAACCACAAGCTTTTTGCACTGTCTGGATTCACAAAGACCTATGCCACTTTCAACTAATGAGGAAGAACTCCCAAGTACATCATCTAACGATATGCATGAAATTTTAAGGTGCATTTAAAAGCCAGATCTCCACTCTCAATTTTTCTCTTGTGTATAATTGTAATGGTTGGTATAGGAAAGGAAAGCTGAATTATTGTTTATTATTTTGTTCCCAAAATTAATGTGGCAATTTTGAGAGTACTAATATACCCTGCATCTACTTCTCCCAGACACTTTTTATATGTATACATTATCTCTCATTTAATTCTCATAATATCATTTGAAGCAGGTACTATTATCTTCTGCTTTTTACAGATGTAGAAATTGAAGCTGAGAAGTTAAGTAACTTGCCTAGAGTCATGTATCTAATAAGTGGCAGCATCAAAATTCAAATTCAGGGCTAATTCTAAAGGTCATAATTTTCCCTATTAAACCATTATGCCCCTTAAGAGAACCACAGGGAGTGAAATTACATAATATATTAATATTTGATTAGGAGGAGAAAAAGACCAATCATAAAATGTAATGTCAGTCCATGGTAGAGGTTGGAGGGTGGTGGGTGGGGTGACTGAATAGGTTATAAAACTGCAAGGTAGGAGGCACCTGGCTGTCTCAGTCAGTAGAGCATGAGACTCTTGATCCGAGGTCATGAGTTCAAGCCCCATGCTGGGGGTAGAGCCTACTTAAAAAAAATAAAATAAAATTGCAAGGTGGAAAATAGGACCCAGACTAGAGTGAAATGAGGGAGGCAGTCCTCTTGGCAGGAGAGGAGAAGCCAAAGAGGAGATGGGAGCAGATGGACACGGTTAGTATCTAGCTGAGCTATATTGGACAAAGATCAAATTGGGAATGATTCTCCCAGGGTAAATAAGAGAGATGTGCATTTTAACCCTTAGGCACATATGAGAAGCTGCATAAGCAATACCTTGCACATAGCAGACTTAGAAAAAAGAAATCTTGAATCTCAATTTTAAAAGACCAGTCAACTAATAAAGACTAGACCAATAAAAACTAGAAGACTTGATTTCCATAATTGGCACATGCAGCTAATAGACTCTCCTATATGTTCAGTGACTAAGAAGGAAACAGGAAGGCACCAGAAGTAATTGGGAAAGGTTTACCAAGTCAAACAATATGAAACAAGCTTTTGCGTTTCTAAGGATAAATAGCTAGCATTTGTTATCTACTATGTGACAAGCAGAGTTACATGCTTTACTTACATCAGCTCCCTTAATTCTGGTAACAACTCTATACAGACTACTATATTTTCAATCCCATTTTAACAGACGAGGCAGAGAATTAAGTAACTTATTCAAGGTCATAAAACTAGAGTCCAGGAGATCTTTCTGGATGTAAAAGGTCGTGCACTTAGCCATTATACTGCATTCTGAACTCTGCACTTAGACCGGATGAAAAAGTACAGTGATTGCTTGTGCTAGAATGTGATGGGAGAATGTATGAAGCAATTAACTATCTCGCCAGAAGTTAGGGAGAATTTGAGTGCCCAAATTGCTACAGAAAATCCTGTTGTCCTGTGTGATGAAAAAGCTAATGGCACCGGAAATTGGGCAAGGAAGTCTTGTGTCTGAGAGTACCTGGCTGGTCACATTCCGTAAGTTGCTTGCTTTTGCCCCAAACTACTCTCTAGTTTTCAATGGGTGGCAGTCTGACTCGGAGGAAACCAGGCAATTCCTGCTAAAAACAATCATTGCTAAAAACAATCATTTCCATGATCTGCCGCCCAGTTAAAAAAAAAAAAGTCTAGGCACAGATTTCGAGCAAATTTCCATTAGGTATCTGATGTCTAGGAACCACTTCCCTTAGCAACGCCATACACATCAAACCCTAAAACGAGGAAGCCTCCGCTGAGGTTGCCCAACGCGGGAGCCGGCACACGCAAATCACTGAGTCAGCTGGGGCCGGCGATGGAGAGCCGCGAGCTCCCGTCTCCGGCGTGAGGCAATCTTCCTCCCACGGTCTCGGGAAGCCTCGACGCCGCAGGCTTCCTAGCCGAAGTGGAGCCGCCCAGGTGTAGCTCCTGCACCGCTTCCTCCCCCAGCGGCAACCACCCGACCCTTCCTGCTCAGCCCGACTCCACCTCCCCAGCTCCGAAGCGCGCGCCTCCGCGACCGGGCGGCGGCGGCGGCGGCGGCGGCAAGCGAAGGAAACGCGCGGCCGCGCGCACGCGCGCAAAGGGGCGGCCCGCCGGAGGCCCCGCCCCGCCAGAGGCCCCGCCCCCTCGGCGCAGCGGCGTGTCCCGCCTGCCCGGCTACCCCAGGCAAACCTGTCTCGGCTGGGCGGGGAGCGGAGCTTCCTCCTCAGAGTGTGGTGCGGCATAGACGGCTTTGTCCTTCCGCCCCTGCCTCCTCGGCGCCTGGGCGAGCGAGGGGGCGAGCGGAAGGTGCGCTGGAGCCGAGGCCCGCGATGCGCCCGGGGGGACCAGCACAAGTCGCGGGGTCGCCGGCGTCCGACGGGTCGCTGTGCGGGGAGCTGCTGCAGGCCCCGCCGCCCCCGGCCTTGCAGCCGTCTCCGGCCGCGCCCTCGGGGCTGCCGCTCCCCGCTTCGTTTGGCGCGACCCTCAACCGCCTTCCGGAGCCGCTGCTGCGGAGACTCAGCGGGAGCCTGGACCGAGCGCCCGAGGGCCGGGGCTGGAGGAGGCTGGCCGAGGTGGCGGGGAGTCGGGGGCGCCTCCGGCTCAGGTGAGGGACGGGGGCGCGGGGGGCGTGGGGCAGGGGCCCGCGGGGCGGGAGCGAGCGGGCACCCGGGTGGGAGGACCGGCGCGCCGGCGGCTGGAGTGGTGCGGGGGCCGCTGCGGTGAAAGGCGCGCGGAGGGGGATCTCTGTCCGGAAAGCGTGGGAATGCCAGAGATCCGAGGTTGGACCCTCCTCCCCGTGAGCTGAAAGGGAGAAGTGGGGGGGGCGACCCAGAAGAATCTGGAGGGAAGGCAAACTGTGTGCAAACCACTGGGACAGGGCAGTCATTCCAAAGGACCTAGCGTACAAAAGAACGGGATGTGGGCACAGACCGGGAAGACCTAAGGAAGGCGAAGTGCAGGTAAAGGGAGACTGAAAGCGAAGAGCTTGGGTGCAGGATTTCATGGAAGTTTTTACATAGGAGAGGTTGATCATGGGAAAGGCTGATGCTAAAACTACCATCTTCCTCCATCAAACCAACTGACCAGGTCCTCTTCTTGACTTCACCGTGAGCACTGAGCTCGAAGTAAAACTATTTTCCTCTTCCCAGGATAGGAACTGCGAACTATTGGTCTCGGTACTTCTTTACACTGTGAAGAATTATTGAGGACCCCAGAGAGTTTTTAATGTGGGTTCTATGTATTACACACATATATTTATCCTGTTAAAGATTAAAACTAAGAAACGTTAAAAATTTTAACTTATTTTAAAAGAATAACCTGTTACATGTTGACAGAAATTACATGTTTTTGTGGAAAAACAAACTTTTCCAAAACAAAACAAAAAAATTAGAAAAGTGGCCTTGTTTTACATTTTGAAGATCTCTTCTATGTCTTGTCTTTATTGCAGAGAACTGGCCTCTTTTTCGTGCTTCTGCATTCAGTCTGTGGCACTGTCCCAGATCATGTAACACTGGTTGCTCCACAATGTACACTTACTCAGGGAGTGAATGAAAACGATAAATAACATCTCGGTGTTACTGTGAAAAATCGTTTTGACCTTGCAGATCCCGTGACAGGGTCTCAGGAACTGCACTAGCGGTGCCCAGACCACACTAAGAACCATTCCTTTATACCATTGTTAGGATTTTGGTCTGCCTGGGAATCCCTTAGAAGTTTTTTTTTTTTTAACTTCTCATGTGACTAAACTTTGCCTTGGACTGTAATTATTTGTACACTTTCTTATAAACTCCTTGCGAAGAGGAGGCATCAGTTAAGATTCTGTGTGTTATGCATAGAGCCTATCTTAGACACTATAAATACTTTTGAGAGGGGAGCCATTCATTCACAATTATGTTTATTGAGTGCCTATTATGAGCGGGAAGTTCCAGAAGATAAAAAGATGACAAATATTTAGTTCCTATTCACAAGGATGTCTCTAGTAATGGATTGTTATTCTGGGACATTCATAAATAACATGTTAAATGCTGTGTTGGGTGTGAATAATAACAATGGATTGTTACCATTTATTGAGCACTTAGTATATACCAGTGCACTAGGTGTTTACATGCATTATCTTACTTTAGCCCTCACAACAACCTTGAGTTTCAGAGTTTGGGGTTAAACCAGGGTCATGATGATTTAGGGTTCTTTGGCCGCAGAGAGGAGTAATGATGTGAGGTTGGAATTAAGAAGTGGTAAACTTGCAAAATTGAGCAGACAGATGGCACAATTTTCTGTTCTGGGAAAGAACATGTTTCTCTTAGGGAGAGGGGCTGTGCAAAGAAAATTCAAAATACTATTACACTAGGTCTGTAGATTTCTGAATTTCTAGACTTAATAGTGTAAAAAGTTGTCTTCTTTGGGATCGGATCATCAGATCTGTGATTGGTTAGTTTGTGATTAGTACACTAGTTAGGGAAGGCTCTGGACTTTCCTGAGGAGGGCCTGGGAGTGAGGACTCCTAATTTGACAGTGGAGGAAAGAGAAGAAAGGAAGGCCCTGCCACTGAAGAAGCCTGGCTGAAGTAGTGGATACCTGACATCAGGTGTTCTGTGTTCCTCCCCAAGCTTTCAGTCAGGTTTTGCCGAAGGCTACAGAATGGTTTGTTTGGCAAACTAACAGAAAAGTCTGAGGCCACATCTCTGGCGAAGGAAGTATAGAGAGAAGGGCAGTTGCCTCGCGGGCAACAAAGGGCATGCATTCGTGGAATCTGGCAAATTCCAGGGTGGGAAGTCTGAAAAGAAATAGATGGGATTTCACCAGTCTTCCAGGATGGTGAAGACTAGCTCAGAATAGGTGAGTGGTGGTGGGAGTGGGGGCACCCCTGCAGGTTAGAAAATTGGGGAATATTAAAGTCATATACCCACTGAAATCAGAATTAAACTGGCATAACAAAAGGTTAGCACTGGGAGCTTAGGGGCTGGCGAGTGACATGTGAGGGGGCAAGGTAAGCTGGCAATGCTTACTCTGTTTAAGACAAAAAAGCTATTTCAGAGTAATTTCATACTGGTACTAGAAGAGCATCTAGGATAGCAGAAAGTCCCAGAGGTATTTTTCTCTAGTGTCAGACCGAGGAACTGAAGTGGGAGGGTCCAAGTGGACAACAGTTCCCATGAGGGGGTGGACTTTTTTCCCCTAAAATCTTCCAAGGTTGCCTATTGTTTCTTACATTTTTTTCTCACTCTATACATGTTTCCTCAAATAGATGAGAATTTGATGAAGAAACCCCAAGAGTCCATCCTAAACTGTCCATCAGGGATTAGGAGTAATTGTAAATGTCTTCATACGATTATGGGTGACTCAGAATCAGTCCTGGCTTCCAGTTTAGTTTCCCACAACCGTGTGCATACGGGAGTGCCCTAAATACAATCTCAGCCCTAATTCCATTCCAGACCGCCCTGATACTGAACAGCCTTTGCCATCAGTGCAGACAGATGCAGGTTCTGAGTGTCTTGCCCACCACACCCTGAAGGTGACAGAGCTTTCGGGAGGCTCTAACACTGCCTGGACTCCATGCAGGAGGGAGCTGAGGAAGGGGGCTTTGGGACACGAACCAAGGAAAAGCATCCCTGTGCACCTGCTGTACAGAAGGTGTTCTGTAGCTGCAGACTTCTGCCTTGCTGCAGTTTGTGATAAGAATGAGAACGTGTGCAGAGCTGGAACAAAGGATCTTCTCCTGTCTCTGTCTCTCCGGCCTGTCTCTTCGGTGTCTGAAATTTGGAGTGCCGTCAGATCCAGGCTTTGTGTCTCTTTATCTACGTGTCTCCACCCAGTCCCCTTCTCGGTGTATCCTTAAGTCTCAGGACTATACATACTTAGGTAGATTCCTCTTAGTTTGTATCTTCAGTCCATCTCTTTGCTTTGAACCCCCTGGATTCATTCCTGCAGATGTTGATTTGCCATCTCCTCATGAATGACTAAGATATCTTAAGCGTAGCGTGTCCAAAACTTAGCGTGTCTTTTCCCACAGACCTGTTTTTCATTCAGTTTTCTTTATCTCAGGAAATGGCAACTGCACCCCTCCGAATACGCAGGCCCAAAACTTCAGAATTATTCCTGACTCCACTTTTACACACCACGTCCGTTTTATCAGTGATCCGCATCTGCTATGCCTTCAGTGTGCATCCAGAATCCAACCGCCGCTGCCCCAGCCCTGGGCCAGCCACTGCCCTCTCTCACCTGGATCATTCCAGTAGCCGCCTAACTTCTCCTCCCGCTTTGCCTCTGCCCCCCGGCTGTTCTCAGCATAGCAGTGAGAATTTATACTCTTTTGAAACATCCAGTCGGGTCTTACCTTTCCTCTGCTCAAAACCCTTTAATTGCTTTTCTGTTTCAGGATAAAAACACTAGTTAGCCACCAGTCGTCTCTTGGACCCCATAATCTTCCTCCCTTTCTGTGCTTTCCGCACACTTGCTTTCTTGCTTTTGGCTTCAACACAGGAGGGTCTTTGTACTTGCCTTTTCCTCAGTCTGCGATCGTCTCCACAGGTGAGCTGCGTGACTTTACCTCCTCAAGTGTTTACTTACAGGTCGCCTCCTTCAGTGAGGTCTTCTCTGATCACATTATTTAAAATTACCCCGTACATCTGCTCCAGCTTTACTTAGCCCCCTGCTTTGCTTTTCTCCAGAGCACTTACAACCATTGGATGGACACACACACACACACACCTCTGTTTGTCTGCCTCTGCGTGCATATGTATGTTTATATCTTGTAGGAAAATCCAGGATGATAGGGAATTTTGTTTGCTGCAGTATCCTAAATACCTAGGAAAAATAGTTGGCCTATTTTAGATGATTAATAAGTAGTTAGTGAATTAGTGAATAGAGATTTCAAAGAGTAAGTGTTCCAAGAAGAGAAGCAAAAGAACCTAAAAGCAGTGCCATGGTTTGTACCCTAAGGGATGTATGATGTGTTCTATTTGATTATATATTTTTTGAAGTGATTTTATATATATATATATATATATATATATGAAGTGAAGAGAAATACAAATATATTTTCTTAGAGGCAAAGCCCATTTTTTTCGGTAATAGTCTTTTAACTTAAATGAGAAATTCCAAATTAGGCCTGGTAGAAACCACTTCAAAGCAGTCTTACAGGAATGTAACTAAAAAAGGAAAAAAAGAGTCTGGGTATTTAGAAGCATCATCTGAGCTGAAAGCCAGTGCCCAGGCGGAAAATCAGTAAAAAAGGAAAGGAGATACAGAATCTTGTTTTTCTCCTGTGCCTCTTGTATTGGAAAATTTTGTCTCCTTCATCTCGACCTCTTTCTTCATTTGGAAGAAAGAAGTCAAATTGTTTTTCGCTTTTTTCTATATCAGTATAAACATCAAAGCATCACTTGGTTGCATTTGGTGAGGTGGCTTCTGAATTTTTTGTACCAGAGTCCAACCACCTTTCTGAATCATAAAAAAAAAAAAATATTTAGCACACAACATCCCTGTTTTTATAGATCTCATATTCTAATTATCTAAAAGAATGGTAATCCTTCTATTGTCTCTAATACTGGTTTCTTGACCTGGGTGTTACAGGGACTAAGGAAAGAAAATTTTACAGAGTAGAGGAGTGGCGGGCATCTGCAGCTTTCGTTGTTGTCTTCATAGTCACCATTATTTCAGAGGAGAGAGGACGCTTTAACACTAAGAAATAGGAAAGACCATCTCAGAGTAAAAGGCAGTCTTATTGTCCTTGTTTTTATCATTTTACCTTGGGCTTCAAATTGTGCTGCCACTAGTCTACCGTCCAGCATTTGGGAACAATTGACCTATATTATGATTCACATTTAACAAAAAGAGAGTATGGAATATACACATTTAACTGAGACGCTTAGAAGGAACACCTAGTGAGTATAGAGACAGGAGGCCTTGAAGGACATGATCAGATTACCCAACCAGTAACTACTCAAAAACATTTTTAAGGAAAAGGGAAAACAGTTTCAGAAATCAGCATAATTAAGAAACTATTGTTCTTTTAATATCCCATGTTTTTATTGCATAATAAGAACTCACTTTTATTGAGTGTTTGTTATTTGCTACATACTTCTAGCATAGATTATCTAATTTAATTCTAACAGTCCTATGAGAGAGATGATACTAGTATTGAAATTATTTTGGTTGGATACATTTTTTTTCTAAAGTTATGAGATTACCAGCTTCACCACAGAATTATAAATCTTGAGTGACCATTATATAAATGCTATGGTAGCCTTTTAATAAAACTGATCAAAAGGAATGTGGATTAAGACTATTCCAGGAGTGCCTGGGTGGCTCAGTCTGTTAAACTTCCGACTCTTGATTTTGAGATCGAGCCCCGTGTTGGACTCTGCATTGACCATGGAGCCTACGTAAGATTCTCTCTCTCTCCCTCTTCCCCCACCCCCCCCTCTAAAAAAGGAAAAGAATGTTCCAAGTCGTATGAAAACTTGCTCACCTTGCATCTGGCACAGCTGTGATACTGTTATGTCTGACCCTTTCCATCTATCCAGTCCTCCAGCCTTTTTAGTTATGATTGAAATTCATGCAGTAATCATTCAGTTATGAATAATTAATATGGGCAAGACAGATTTTAGGTATTGAGGGGTTAAAAATACAGGGTTTCTGTTTTCAAGGAGTACTGTAATCTAGTTAGGTAGAGAACATGCCTATGAAAGAAAAGCTCATGGTTTTATTTATTTATTTTTTAAAGATTTTATTTATTTGACAGAGAAAGAGACAGCCAGAGAGGGAACACAGGCAGGGGCGAGCAGGAGAGGGTGAAGCAGGCTTCCCGCTGAGCAGGGAATCATGACCTGAGCCAAAGGCAGACACTTATCGACTGAGCCACCCAGGCGCCCCGAAAAGCTCATGGTTTTAAGGCAAAATTGTGTCAACTGAGACATAGAGAACAGGGGTCTGCAAACAATGATCCCTGAGCCAGATTTGGGCCACTGCCCCTGTTTTTGCAGTTTATGGGCTAAGATTGGTTTTCATATTTAAAAAATTGTAAGACAAAAGATAAGAAAGAAGAACATGCAATAGACTATATGGCCCATAAAGCCTAAAATATTTTCCTTCTGGCACTTTACAGAAATTTGTCGGGGCGCCTGGGTGGCTCAGTTGGTTAAGCGGCTGCCTTCGGCTCAGGTCATGATCCCAGGGTCCTGGGATCGAGCCCCGCGTCAGGCTCCCTGCTCAGCGGGGAGTCTGCTTCTCCCTCTCCCTCTGCCTGCCTCTCTGCCTACTTGTGCTCTCTCTCTCTCTGTCAAATAAATAAATAAAATCTTTAAAAAAAAAAAAAAAAGAAAGAAATTTGTCAACCTTTAATATGTAAGGTAAGTGCCATCAGGAGATATGTCTAACGTGTGTTTGGGGGACTTGTGTGGTCTGGGTGAACCTCACAGAGAAGCTAAAGTTTATATTGGACTACAAATTGGAAGGAAAGGGAGAGGTTGCTGCAAAGGTGTGTGATGTGCGAATTCTGCAGTATATCATGAAGATTAAAGACTTTGGTTGGCCTTTGTTAGTGGTTATGTCTCTTTGGGAAGATTTTTTTTATTATGTTAATCACCATACATTACGTCATCTTTGGGAAGATTTTGGGGGGTTTTCTGTTGTTTTGATTGTTTGGTTTAACTTATACTGTTTTTCTTCTCTTGAATGTTTCATACTTGTGCTTTCCCTTTCTGTGAAATGAAGTCCATACTCCTTGTCCCATTATTTATGGCCTTCTGTAGTCTGATCTTAGCCTGTCTTTCTAACCTTGTATATGCCTACTGAACACAGTAACACTGAAAAGGAAATTTGTTATGTATGTTAAATAGTGATAATAAAAAAAAAATAGTTTGAACAAAAGGACAATGAGACAGAAAGTAGATTCTTTGGAGCAGAAGTCAGCCAACTTGTTCAGCTTTGCAGACCAACGGCTCACCTCTGCTGTTCTAACAGGAAAGCAGCCATCCACCTTTGTAAACGTGTATGTGAACAAGCGTGGCTGTGTTCCAACAAAACCGTTTACAAGGTGACTGGGTGGGTTTGGCCCACAGACCAGCGTTTGTCTTGCCCCTGTGTTAGGGTATTTCTAGGTACTTAGAAGTACTTTGAATGTCACTAATAGTCTTTTAAATTTGTTGAAAAAATGAGCACATGTAGTAAAAAGTCCGACAGTACAAAAGGGTTTATAGTGAAAAGTTGAATCGTCCAGCTGAGCTCTCCTGCTCCGGCCCCCTCTGTAGGAAAATCGCTACTAGTTTCTTGGCTGTCTTTTCAAGGTTAACTCCGTACATATAAGAACAAACACATATTCTTACTAATAAAAATAGTATCATGCAGAACAAACACTATTCTGTATCTTTATTGTATGGATACATATGTAGGCACACTACTTTACTAATACAAAATACTGTATGTTAAGTTTTTTCATCTTTCAAGATGTCTCAAAGATCTGTGCCTCTTTTTTGGGTCATATAATGCTTAATAAAAGCAGAAGAACAAGTAGAGAAATGTATCTGATCTTCCTAATCCATAGTCCCAAATTAAAGGTAAAAATTTTGATCAACATCAAAGCCAAATTTCTCTCACATCCTGTTACAGGATTTCTCTCATCTTCTCATTTAGTAGTCTCGGGAGCTGAGTTGGAGAAGGGCATAAAGAGGAATTCCCTATGATGACAGAAGGAGGAAAGGACAGTAGCACTCATAATGGAAATAACTTTTCACCACTCAGCGACTCATGGTTTATCCCTACACCTACAATCATGCCAGACATAGAGCAGGCATATCATGTTGGAGAAAACTATTGATTTGAATTAAATCTGTTGTTTGCAGTTGCCTGGACTTGGAGCAGTGTTCTCTTAAGGTCTTGGAGCCTGAAGGAAGTCCAAGCTTATGTTTACTGAAGCTGTTGGGTGAGAAAGGTTGTACGGTCATGGAACTGAGTGACTTCCTGCAAACTATGGAGCACACAGAGGTTCTTCTGCTTCTTAGCCCCCCAGGTAGGTTCTTCTCTGAGGTCTATTCTCCAGGAGTTCATGGAGACAAACTTAGAGGAAAATATCTCATTTGCCAATGAATTGTATTAAATATTTTTGGAAAATGTAAACATATGGAGACTAATTTTTTCCTCCAGGTTGAGACTAAGGAACACATAAAAAGCAAATACAATGCAAAAACACTGATTGGATTGTGGTTCAAAAACATCAGCTATAGGGTGCCTGGGTGGCTCAGTTGTTAGGCGTCTGCCTTCGGCTCAGGTCATGGTCCCAGGGTCCTGGAATTGAGTCCCACATCAGGCTCCCTGCTCGGCAGGAAGCCTGCTTCTCCCTTTCCCACTCCCCCTGCTTATGTTCCCTCTCTCGCTGTGTCTGTCTCTGTCAAATAAATTTAAAAATATATTAAAAAAAAAACTATAGAAGATATTTTGGAGACAAGTAAAGCAATTTGAATTTACCATGTATATTAGGTATTAGGGAATTATCATGTGATAATGGTGGTGTAGTCTGTAGAAGAATGTCTTTATTCCAAGGAGATGCGTGCTAAAGTATTGAGGGGATGGGGCGCCTGGCTGGCTCAATGGGAGAGCATGCAACTCTGATCTCAGGGTCGTGAGTTCAAGCCCCACATTGGATGTGGAGCCTACTTTAAAAAAAGAAAAGGTAAAGTATTTAGGGGTAAGATTCTTTTTTTTTTTTTTTTTTAAGAATTTACTTATTTATTTGAGAGAGAGAAAGCAGGATAGAGAGCACGAAGGGACATGGGAGGGGGAGGGGCAAAGGGAGAGGGAGAAGCAGGCTCCCCGCGGAGCAGGGAGCCCAATGTGGGGGCTCGATCCCAGGACCTCAGGATCATGACCTGAGCCGAAGGCAGACTCTTAACCAACTGAACCACCCAGGCGCCCCTAGGGGTAGGATTTCTATAACTAATGTTGAAATAGGGCAGCCAAGGCTCAGTCAGTGGAACCTGCGATTCTTGATTTTGAGGTTGTGAGTTCGAACCCCATATTGGGGGTAGAGTATACTTTGAAATGAAGAAAGGGAGGAAGGGAGGAATAGTGCAGCCAAACATATTTATTAATATGTATGTATGTATACAAGTGAGATCAAGCAAATATGGCAGATATTTTATTAAGTATTTCACCAACATGATGCTTTTGAAATGTTGATTGATTCAACCGTGATTTTTTTTCTGAATATACCAATATTGAGTGAGATTTCTCACTTGCAAGGTCAGATGTGAAGAAAAGGAAACAGCCCCTTGTCTGCACAGCTACAGATAGAGTTGGTCCCCTGCAACAGTGTCAGGCAGGAGAGACCATGTGGTCTGAGTCACATGATGACAGCAGCACTGCAGACCTCCCTTCTCGGGTCCAGTTCACCATTATAGATTCCACCAGAAGCAGAGAAGCCAGTCAAGGTTGGGAGGGCCATGGTCTAAGGACTCATGCTCTCTGTGTTACATGGTTTTGATGTATGTAGTTTTTATTACATAACCAGCCTACTTGTGATAATATTTTGAAGGTAACATGAGAAACCTAAAATTATAATTCAGATCTTATTTTTGTCAGTTCTGGGTTTCGGGAATCTTCTAACTGAAAAGTCTTGAAGCAGGCTGGGCTTCAAGAGAGGCTGAGGACAGCCCTGTTTTCAAAGAATTGGTTTGTTTTCATCTTTGCCCCTCCTTTCTTGTTACTGGCTTCCTTCCAAGAGTGACTTTTTGCATAGTGGCAAGATCTCTACTGACTTGCATTCATCTTTGTCCCAGCAAAAATCATAAGATTCCCTCTAGTTAACTAGTTTTAATGACATGCCTATCCCTATACCTGTCACTGTGGCAAGGGAGATGGAATGTACCCATTTGCTGGCTTAGAGGCAGGAGCAGAGTTGGGTTGAGTCAGCTTTCCAGAAACCACATAGGATACTAAACAAAAGTGGGCCTGTTGGAAGGGAGTAACAGATGCTAGGAAGATAACCAAAGAGTCCACTACAAAGGAAAAGGACCCTAGATTACAAGTCAGGAAACTTGGACTCTCAGATCATCCTCTGCTTCCCAAGGCCTAAGGTGATGATAAAATAGGTGCCTCCTTTGAGTTGCACGTTGCGTTGGATGCTTGACATCTGTTCCTCAGTGCCTCTTTATACCAAGAGGTCTGGGGTAGGAGTAATTATGTCTAGATGAAATTGTTGTTTGTCACCAATCAGTGAACTTCTTCATAAGGTGACATTTGTTAACTTTTATATCCCCAGTGCCTTGAATATTACCCAAGAGTTGTGACGATTGAAATCTGCCAGTTGGGGCACTCAGTTAGCTACTAAGTTCTCATACTTCCTAGAATACCATACCAGGGCCTCTGAAAACTTAAGAAACCTCTCCAGGAAGTGAATCTAACTTGTATATCTCATTATCTTTTTTCAGTAATTACGCTAATCACTGTGACTCTGGTTGCCAAGTCTATAAAATGAGAGTAAGTGTTCTCTACCTGGCAGAGTTGGAGGAGTTACATGAATGCCATATGGAATGGCCTCAAGGCAGCCACAGAGGCTTCCTGTCTCCTGATCTGTGGTGGGATCACTCGCCTCAGATCTCGGGCTTCCACATTTTCAGTTTCCCATGCATGACACTGGGCTTTCCTGAAATTGAGTCACATGTTTGTTTATGTATAACGATCTGCCTGAAATTTTTGGCAATATTTTAATTTTTGACAAACCAGCAGTGAATACAGAGCCAACCTAATAAACATCAGTAATCTAATCCCTTGACAGATCCATTTCTGCTCTTTGTGTTTTTCTCCACATAGTAGGATTAGCACTTTACCATCAGTGTTCCCCATATAGATCATTCTGGTATTTGGCCTACAAGCTTTTTCAGAGTTATCCCCTAGGACTTCCTTGTATTTGAGGGGAGACCAGGAAAAGGAAAGCAGTTTCTATGTTAACATTTCTATATTAACACTTATTCACTGTTTCTGTGAAGTTTTATCTCATATTAGCTGTATAATGTCCATTGGGAATCAGTTGTTTCTTCAATATTAAGTATTCATTTTGAGGACATATTTTAGGATCTGATAAAGCTCAGTAATTTCAGGAAGAGGTAATTTACTGTTAGCTTTCTATGTGCATTTTATGTGAATAATCTAAAACTTACTGTATTTGCAGATATTAGAATAAAGTATAAGAATTATAGAGAAAATTTTAATTTTTAATAAGGATATTGAGAATAAAAACTATTGTACTTAAGAAGGTAAGCTCTGATAGAATCAACTTTAAGACTTTACTCATTCATTCAGTAAACACTTACTGGTTTCCAGTACCTTTGCTATTCCAGACGTTGCACTTGGTACTGTGATTCAAAGATGACTAGAACCAAAATTCTCGCCTAGGAAAAGTTCGTAGACAGGAAAGACAAACCTGTAAGTGATCACATCCAACACAATCGTAAACACAAGTGGAACAAGTCTTATCTGATCTTTGGGTTTTCCTTTTCAGTGTATTCCTGTATCTTGGTGAAAATACAATATAGAAATATTTAATGTTGGGGCTCCTGGGTGGCTCATTTGGTTAAGTGTCTGCCTTCAGCTCAGGTCATGATCTCAGGGTCCTGGGATCGAGCCACATGTCGGGCTCCCTGCTCAGCGGTGAGTCTGCTTCTCCTCTTCCTCTCCCCCTGCTTGTGTTCTCTCTGTCTCTCTTTCAAATAAATAAATAAATCTTAAAAAAAAAAAGGAAATATTGTCATGTTTTCTCTCTTTTTTTGTAGTAAGACAGTTTCATAGGAGGACATTAGTTCTTATTCCACAGAAAGTCCAGTGACTTTTCTCTCGTTGTCTCTATAGAGAGGTCTGCTTTTGGTGAGGGTGGTGAGTTCTGTCAAAGGTGCTGTGAGCCTCTGAACAGACCTTTCAGACCTAAATGCAGGAAGAAGAGGAAACTTTAGATTTATTTTAGTTTTATTTTGCCCCATTCCATTCTGGTTGTTTGAGGGCTGACAGCCAGAGATAGCCATGGGAGATGTCTATAATGAGGAGTTTCTCTGTTTTTCTGAGAAACTGAGTTTCTTTTATGTATTTGTTTTGGTAGCCCAGCAATAGCTGGGGCAGCATTCCCCTGCCTCTAACTAGAACGATTCCCTTGATTAGGAGTCAGCCTCCGTGGTCCCTCACTTAGGATGGGATCTAAGCTAAGGGTAACTCATCCCTAAATTCTTGCTCTCCGTGGGCTTTGACACTTAATATATTTTCTAAAGGAGCTCCATAGGATTGAGCTTCTGCTTTCTCTCTAATTGGGCTTTCTCACAGCACATGGATGGCTAGCTGCTCCCGATGCCCATTTCCCAGCACTGATTGTTTCCATATTTTATTCTTTTGGTCATTCCAGTGGGAATTGGAGGGGAGTGGGAGCATTAAATGAGTGTGCTGAAATTGTTTGAACCAAAAGTCTGTAATGATTTTTTAGACCTTTATTTTTTCATTAAAGGGTCAAAAATCCTGGTCCCAAGGCAAATGACGTTGGCATCTCTGTACTTCGCAAATGTCATTGAGCCCAATGTGCAGTTCAAGATGTTCCTGTTTCTTTTTTTTAAGTGAAAACATTTTGAGAGATTACAGGCTCCATCAGTTAGGGTAGTTATGCAGATCACAAAATGGCTGCCAAGGAAGTCATTCCCTGGCCTGGAATTGGTTAAGCAGAAGCCAGACGATAGGGGATATTTAGAGAGAATTAACATTTTATGTATGGGTTTCATTAGATGAATCCCAGGGTTCCAACTCTAGTTCTGTGATGTTATTTTATTTCTTTCTTTATATAAAAGGTTCTTCACTCTCCATACATACCAGGCCGCTCTGGCTGAGACCTCTTCAGTGGCACCTTTTCCACTTGCCCCACACCTTTTTTGTCATTAGGACAGGAGCCAAGGGGCGCCTGGGTGGCTCAGTCGGTTAAACGTCTGCCTTTGGCTCAGGTCATGATCCTGGGGTCCTGGGATCAATCCCTGCAGCGGGCTC